ATGTAAAAACATTAAAAAATTTTTTTGATGATCGAATCTACGGTGGATGTGAAGATTGAAATCTTTATGACTTCTTATGTAAAAATCTGATTTTTATGTAAAATCTGAAATGTATGATTTTTTTTACTATTTCATTGAACTTTAAATATTAGACTTAAATAACAAAAATTCAAGAAATCGTAATTTTCTTCGTTATATACGTGCCTGTTCAATAAATTGATGAAAAAAAATCATATAGTAAGTTTTCGAGAACTGTTGTAAAAGAAAAGTTTCGATCCTCAAATTCATTGTAGACTCAATCATGAAAGCAATTTTTCAATATTTCTACATACTATGATAATTTATAGCATTTTCGAGAAGAAAAACGTCTTTACTTTGCTATTTGTAATGTAGAAATACCTTAGAATAAAATAAATAATTTATTTTGAAAATAGGTTCAAGCTTTTGAAATAAGCGTAAATTTATTATTGTATTATTTCTTTTTACAAAATTGTAACAGTTTCTAAATGTCCGAATATTAATGAAAATCGCTATAGATACATAGCTGTTTCTACTATAGAAACTCTGTAACTTATTTCTCAACGAATGAATATTCAGTTCTTTTCGGATCATTTCCTAATTCCAATTCAAAAATTCATTTCGATGATCATCTTTTTCAAGTTTTTCAATTAACAATTTGAACCATTTCAGTTCAAAGCATCGATTGAATTTAGTGCTCTAGTGCTGTCAAATATTTTAAAATTTCATTTTCTAGCCGCAATTTATAAAATCGCTATTTCTCCTTTAAAATCTTGAAAATTCTCTTTGATATCATATGTATCATTTTTTCAGACAATTATTTTATATTTTAAATATATTCTTTATTTTTCACCATTTTTTTCACATATTAAAAATCGCCGAATGAAAATTCGATGACCTGAATAACTCAATTAATAAAATAATAGTTCATTAAATAAAAAAATTTGTACTAAAAAATTCTATTATCTAGTTTCTCTCCCTTAAGTTTGAGAATTCTTTTTGCTGCAGTTTTTTAATTTGAAATTTTGTAACACTTTGCGGATAATTATTCAAACATTAATGTCACAATTAATTAGAGAACTCTTTAGAGATGATAGACTTTGTATCAAATAATTTGTTCTATACGTACATTTCAGAAATTATGTTTTTTTATGTCTTAGTTTGCTATTTATTGCTATCAATTTTTAGATACATAACAGAAAACAGTTATTCTTGAAATTAATAGAACAATAAACAATATGTAATTATTTTTCAAATATTTAATTTAGAATTTATGGTTACAATCGTTTGAAAAACGAGAAGTCTTTATTACTGAGAAAGTCTTTATAAAAATTTAAAGGGTTATGTTGAACGTGTAAAATTTATTATAATATTTAGAATAAAATCTTCATTACGCAAGCATACGATAAAAATATTTGTTTGTTTATTTTTTTCTTTCTTTTTCACAAAATAATTGTACTGTAATTGTCTTGCGGCATTATTTTCAATATTCTTTATGGCAGCGTAGACTATATATAGTTTGAGCGAAAGAGAAAGTCAGACTTTTAACTTTTTCATAATATTTACTTCAAAAATATAGATTTTTCTTGAGAAATATACGTATATAGGATTTTAAAAAAATGTTGATTTTTGTTGCAACTGTACACTTTTGAATAAAAAACCTCATTAAAAAAGTCTTATAAAAGGAATTCTTTGTAAATTGTAAAATTCTTTGTAAAAGGATCTGTAGAAAAAGAAGTTTCAAATAAATTTTCTTGCAAAAAACTCTACAAGCAGAGTTTAAATGTTCTTTAGAAATTAAAAGTTTTTTCATTTTTTCTTTTTTCTTTTTTTTTTTTTAGCACAAACCGGGAAAAATCGCTAAAAGTGGTTTTGCATCAAGCAAAAGACTTCAATCCAGCCATTTTACGAAGAAGAAAAGATAAATATTTTTCAATACTAGTATAATAAAAGCTTTATTACAAATTATCTTTCAATTTTATTCTTTTGCAAAAAAAAAATGCAGGAAAAAATAATTTAATGTTAGACTTAAAATGACTTGACGGTTAATGATTTTCGTGCTATATTTAGTAATTTTCTACTTTGACAAACATAAAATCTTTACATATATAAAATCTTTTAAATTTCTTAAAATAATTCAATTAATAAGGTAATTATTTGGCAAATAAAAGACTAATAGAAAGATTTCTCCACTTTTGTTCACAGATACCGCAAGTACGCAACGTTCACAAACGTCTACGAAATCATCAATAAAACAAACGTCCACGACATCTCCATTGGCATCGACGTCAATGTGGTCAACGAGTTTGAGAATGTTGACTAGTAGTCCGAGTGATGTGATCAAGACATCGTCGAGTGCACCAACGAAGAAGACAAAGATGCCAAGGGTGACTTTGAAACTTAGAGAGAACGAAACGATACCACAAATGTACATGAAGGCAGGGATAGCATCGTATAAGAAAGGGAACATCACTACGAGCGTGCTGGCACATGGCCTAAGCTTGGAGGGGTTGATCTTCAAAACGCCAGAAGGAACGATAAATCCATGGCCGCAAAAGTGGTTCTTCACTGACTCCTCTTCTTCTGATTTTCAATGGAAGGTACAGTCGACTCGGCAAGTAAGTTAGTTAACGAGCAATCGTCTGTGGAAAAATATCGGCTGTTTTATATAACTTCCAATACGATAAAAGTATCAAATACGCTCTAAATTCTTAAAACCGCAGCATTGCTCGTTTTCCACAGCACGTAATTTCATTATAAAATTATCGACAAATGGAATACAAAAACAATTTCACTCCTCCAGTATCGCAGTAATCGTACATACTAGAATATTATGATTAAATTGATATTTGACCGCTAATACGTATGTAAAAAATGAACATAAAAACATTTTCTAATATAATTTTATAATATTGTCTTTTTAATTGCTTGTAAGAAGAGATATCCATTGATTTAATTTTGCACAATGTTTTTCCGTAATCAAATTTTTTATCTTTATTAACTTACTAATAATTATTTTATAACACTTTAACTAACTAGGATGATTTTAATGAATTTTTGCATACTTCATATATAAAATTTTGGCAATATTCAGATTAAATCAATTCTACTCAATTATTCAAGAGTCGATACTAATGAACATTTGTAAGAGTTTTGTAGTCGATACTGATGAACATTTATAAGAGTTATACTTTTAAGATTCTTACACATTGCCAATGGAGCCAGGCCGATAGAATAAATTTTTCTATTCTATAAAGATCTTGTTGAAATATAAAAGTTGATCATGTTGAAATGTAAGAATACTTTTTCAAAAGATGATATATTTTTGGCTGTAATTAATTGCATTATAAATTATGCGTGCAGTAGTTCATTTTATCGTTCATTTAGTCTCACAAGCCAACGTTGATAAGAATTCATTTTAGAGCAGAAAAGAATCAACGAATATTTCTTGTTACAGAAAAATGAAAAATATTTGCAACTTTAAACAAATTTAACAAACATTAACAAGACTTTAAACAATTTAAATTTATTAAATTAGAGTCAATTGTATTTTCATATACCTGAATATTAACGCCAATGAAGGAGTTACGCGAAAAAAGATTTGTAGTAATCGGTCAATAAGAAAGTAATCTTTAACTAGATAAACGAATAGCTAATTAATCCGACAATATCATTTATAAACGAATAGTTTTGGTACATAATATTTGAAATAAATACTTCCGGTAATAAGAATGTTGCATTGTCAAACTAGTTCTCGATTAACTGACAATAAGTTTACAACGATTTTCGATTTTATATCCGCTGTAGAAAAATCATAATTTATTTTCATAACAAATATTATTATTAAGGCCAGTTAAAGCTGAATTGAATAAAAAGAAAGAGTCCGTTGCAAAGCTATTGGTTCAATTATGTTGTTTATTGTAATGTGAGATCAAACGTACGTCAAAATAATATTGAGCACTGTTTAATTTTATCTTTTTAAATTACCTTCTATTTTTTAATTGTATAACTCAATCCACTCGTTACTAATTTTGTCTATCTGTCTTTGTTATTTTATACTTAATACGAAAGAACCCAAGATACAGAATGCGTTAAAAAATTGTAGGATTTAATAATGACTTTAGATTTTTGTTATGGATTTTTAAGAATTTTAATCATATTTTTTTGTACGTATACATGCGTATAAAATATCGCTCGACGATATGAATTTCTACGGACGATGTTATTTTGCAAATAGTTGAAAACCTTGCTGCTCTGGAATTCACAAGCGTCTAATGAATAATAGACGATTGCATCGAAAAATGGCTTACATTCTGCCGCTTATTGTTACCTTTCACATTGATTTCTTTTAAAGTTCTCGTTTTTTAATGTTCCATGCTTTGTAGAACTATTTGTAACCGAAACACTTTCACGTAAATTATAAATTTCCATTTTATTTATTCTTTTTGTATTATATTTTTATTCTTGTTTCGATATGTAAGAATACAAGAAAGAAATTCATAAAAGAATTCAATATCAAGTGGAAGAAAACTTCCAGCAAAATTCCGGATGAAAATAATATGGAATGGAATAGAATGGAAGAACAAAGGGTACAGGATACGGCCTTGACCGCGTAGAAAATTTAAGGAGGATTTTTATGGGTGGTAAAGATTAATTTGTATTCAGTATAAATATTGATCGCGTTGCAGCAAAGACATCTAAACCGAATGGCATCGGTAGCGATCGATAGTCGAGGCATGTTGGTGAATCTAAAAGCAGACGAGAAATAGCCGGTTCCTTTTATATTTCTTCCACGCTTTCTCAGCTAGACTGCCATTATCTTTCCTCTTTCTGGCGACTAAGCACGGAGAAAGGACCGCGTAATCGTTCCTTTGCAGATTATTTTTCCCGTTCTCATTTTTTCATTCATTCTCAGCGTGGCTGTTACATTTGATCTTCTAATATTTTAGCAACCGCGTACATCTGCTAACCAAAGTACTGTAGATTATTCGAACAAACTCTTTGTTTCGTGGCTTTTTAAAAAAGAGATAGGCAACGAGAACAATAACGATATGAAAGTTGTTCATGGAAATTTGCAATAAAGCGCTTGTCTCTTAAAACGATGATTTTCTAACGACGCAACATAGAAATAATTAGCACCATCGGTATAAATTGTTTCTGGAAACACTGCAGACAATGCTGGAAATCAGCAGAATTAATTAATGAGGCATTGAAATCACCGATTGATATTTAACGATTTATGATTTTATATTTACAAATAACGTAATTGCGATTAATTGATATATATTCCTTCATTTGAAAATTTATTCTAACATTAAGGATATTTAATGTCAATTAATTTATATTACTAAATTCTATTTCGTAATATTGAAAAAAATTTCAACATTCTCTTTTAATATTTTCTTATCATTGTGTCTTCCATCTAGGCTTTAAAAGTGAAAATATTGTACTGTTTATAATATTATGATAAATTGAAAAATCTTTGTAAAAAACCCAATAATGGAAAATTTGTTTTTTGTCAGAAAATGTTCTACGTTTACTAAACTATACAGTGTAAACTAAAAAATACAATGTAAAATTTCCGTTTTTAAGAGGGAAATATTACTAATAGCATTAAAAAATGACATTGGTAAGTCTAATATTATTTCTGTAAAAAAAAACTGTAAATTCCAATTAAAAGGCATACTTTTACAAAGTATATTATAAAAAAGCATACTTTTACAAAATATTGAAAATAAAAATATATTCTATACAAATAATCTAGGAACAAATATTGACACTTACAATGGTTATAAATATAAGTGAAGAGTAAATTGAGATTTCTTTACAACAAGGAGATTGCATATACAGGATTTTCTGCAAATATAATTTTCTTAGTATTCTTAATCATATTTAGCAATTAAATTAAATTTGGTAAATAATTGAAAATTAAGTAAATAAATTTTTCTTTTGAAAAATTTGATGTTTGATGCTATAAATATTCTTCAATTCTTGCTTAATTCCTAATGTGTGAAACTAATGTTTTTGACAAATTAATTGTCTACAGCGGTTAATAAAATTCTTTTTTATCGCATTTCATAAAAAATTATCATAGAAATCGAATTTAAATTATACTATTCTCAATTATAACACTTCTATAGGAATTCTCAGATCGTTTTATACTTAAATAGATTTACCATGACTCGAGATGCAACAGAAGATTGCCTTATGTAACTTTCATAAATTGTACCAAACGTAGTTCTCGCAGTGATAACGTATTCCTCTTTATCGCTTCTTCCGGTTCAAATAGCACAGACAACGAAGCAAATCAACTGTTCACAGTATGAAACAGTTCACTTGCTCGACGAGAGATTTCAAAATTGCACGAGAATGCCTTGATAATTATATAACGTTTGTTTCTCTCAATAATTATTGAGGATCTAGACAGTTGAAATGATTTAGCATTCTCTTTTTCTTAATATGTATAATATTTGAAAATATTTTATATAAATAATTTATTTTTATATACTTATTTAAGTATACTTATATACTTATACATATAATAATATATTATATATATTATATATTATATTATATTTATTAGTAATAATAATATTATATAATAATAAATATAAAATATATATTTATTATATATTTGCATACTTTTTGTTTTCGTATGTGATAGATTTAATATCAGTTAAATGACAGATCGATTCACATTTTTTTCATCTACCTCTGATGTTTTCTCATTGAGTCATACGCTGACGAATGATATTAAATTTCAATATTCCGATATGAGAGATAGATTTTCGTGATTACACATTTGGAAGAAGTGGAAGAAGCTGTGAAAAATTAAAGGAGAAAATCTCAAAGGAGAATGACGTTCAATTCCGCACATTAAATTAAATTACATTCGACGGGAAATGTGTCTTCTTAAAGGGGAAATGGACGTTATTTAAATGGAAGATTAGCTTGTTGAGCGTTAAACGACCCTAAAATCAAAATTTCAAACATGTTATCCTCGCCATGAAGATCTTTTTGTCCGAACACACGGAACTAGTGTCCGATTTCAATAAAAATCCTATTCGATATCCATTTCGTACAGAATTCGAGAGAAGTGTTAAGAATACTGGTACTACATACTAAGGCGAATAACAATCAGAGGAAAATCTAATTTGAATGATGGTCCTGATAGGAGGGAAGTTTGTTAAAATTAGAATATCGAGTACTGCCTATAAAATACAACGTTTTACAGTGAAAAGCGTAACTGAACCAATCACTATATATTTCGCGTAAATCATTCTTCATTAACATATACAAGAAATAAATATTGTAGAAACATTTTGCACAGTTAACTCTAATTTAAACAATTTTTTAAAGTTGTGAACAGTTATGTTTAACAAGAAATATTCATTGATCTATTTTTGTTTCATATGCTATATAAGATTATTGTACGTTAATTTATCATAGATTATAGACAGTCTATAGCATCGAATGAGTGGTATACTGAATCAGTACATGTATGAAAACTTTACAAAACAATTAATTAGGTACAAACAAAAAAATATTGTTTTTGAAAAACCTACTATACAATATTTCAATACAAATCAGAGTACTAAGCTTACAGCAAAAAATATAGCATAGAAAATGAAAAATTGTACCGATATATTTCATATAAATACCGGATATAAATTCTATTGAGAATTTGTGAAAATTTTTAAAAAAATTTTTAAAATGAAAAGTATAGGACTTTTATAAATGCTTATCGATCCTTGAATAATTGTATGAAGAAAACTGTAAAACAATATAAAATTTATTCTGATTATCTGAAATCTTGTATAAAGTATGCAGTATAACAAAAGGATTATAAAATAAGTATTACTAGTGATTAGAGTTGAAAAATTTTATTGTAAAAAGCATTATGCAAAACGAATCAATACTTCTTCTTGTTAAAGATAATTAAATGAATATTTGCGATATTAAAAAATTAAAAATCTTAATATAAACAACGATACGAACAGATCTGTAGTTAGTAATTTATTTGAATTTTTATGGATTTTCATTTTAAACGAATAGACTACCATATTCACTACTATCTTTTTTTTTTAGCTGTAGAGAATGCATATGAGTTTATTAATCGAAATTTTCTCTTCGACAACTTTTTAGACATAGAAAGTTTATTGGAAATTTACCGATTTAACAGACACAAAGCAGAAAATCATTATCATATGGATTATTAGTTAACTAGGTCAAAATTTCCGATATTGAGTTTTTTGTGTCATTGTGACCAAGTTAAACGAGTATCGTTTGCAACACGTGTGTCCGAACGTAGCATAATCTTGTTTAATTAATTGCAATATTGCTGCTAATTTTGATCTACAAATTATCGATTATATTCTCGAAATATAATTCTTCTTATCTTACACAAATCTATAGCACATATCTCATATCTGATATAAGGAAATTGAAGAGTAATTAAATATTTTCACTTGTTTAGTTCAGGTTTCATACATTCCATTTTTAATTACTAATAATATCATTCAATTTCTCATTAATCTTTTGGTTAAAAGAAAATAATAAAAAAGTTAAAAAATAAAGCATTTTTTGATCTTTCGATTTTGGAACTAAATTTAATACAAATGATAATTTATAATATCATTCATAGTAAATTTTTAAATTGAATCAGTACATGGAATTAGTTTGTGAGATATAAGAGATTAAAAAATTCTATATCCATTAATACGTCAGTTCGTACGTTTCGATGACTTTTACGTTAGTCAAATAATTAAAAAAATTGTTCCCGGTTGTTACTAACAATTTAGATTTTCAAAATTCATAATGGCAGGCTATTGAGATTTATCAATTTTTTTAAATACATACTATACCATTTTTATGCGCACAATTATGGAATTATTATTTGAATTTTATTTCTTTTATGTTTGATCTCAAAATGGAAAAAATAAAGTATTTGATAAAAAAATAAAGTATTTTTTAAGAAAAAAAATATAAAAATGATAAAAAGTGTTGCGTTGAGAAAAAGAAAGTATTGTGAGGAAGAACTAATAATAAGTCGGTAATAATTAAGACAATTAAGACATGGCATTCCAATACATAAGACATTTTGAATTTTGCAAATTTAAGTTCAAATTCGTTGTTAGCAACCAACAAAACTCCCGGAAACATTTTTTTAAATTATCTGAACGATATACAAATTCATCAAGATGCGTACGGATGCTTTTTTAACTTTATGTCTTCGAAACTAACTATAGATTTAATTTAAGAACTTGTAGTAATTAATGTTTTGTCGTAAGCCATAGTAATTTGATAGCATGCTACATTTGATAGTCTACTATATTTGATAATAAAGTCAGTTTCAAGATCGAGGGATCAAAAACAGGTAAATTTTTGAATCATTTTTTCATGCAAAAAAAATTTACCTTTTTAATACAGATAAAATCTATTAATTGCTTTCAATTATTTTAATGTTTCTTTGTTATATACGTTTGACTGGCTTGATGCTATTACGCAATGTGCGATTCTTACAAACCAATCACATTTTTTTTAAATCGACATTAAAATCACGCGGACTAAAGAAAAAATTGCATTCCGTTATTCCACAGGGGTTAAACCAGATGCCAATAAGAATTTACATAGTTCTAGCAGTATTCGCAGCTATGGCAAGCATCAGTATTTCTTTGCTACTGTACGTGCAGCGAAAGGCCATAAGACGCCAACGTCAGTGCATTGAGGAAGCAGGAGTGGAGGGTCATGAGGAAGACAAATCAATCTTGCTGGGTGTCCAGGAAACTGAGGAGAAAGAGTAATCGTGATTCTATCACTGGAGAGTTATGTAGCTCGTAAGACCCGCATATTTTTACAACACGTACTTATGTCAGTTTAAATTTAGGTAACTCGCGTGAAAACACTGAACAAATCATCATTGAGATATTGGCAGTACCGGCTAATATTTTCTCAATTTATTTAATCAAGTGCTGATTACTGCGTTTTAAGGAATTGACCGATTAAATAATTATCATTCTCTTGTCTCGTTTTCCTCGTTGTTTGAATTTTGCTTACTTTGCGTGCCCAATTCTTCAGAGGAGAATTAACCTTGACAATAGTTTGATATGACGTGAAATTTTCTCAAAACATAGTTCTTATAAGAATTTTATTTTTAAATAATTATATAACTATATAATTAATAAAATAATAAATTATATAATAAATCATATAATTTATATATATTATAATTATATAATTCATTATATAATTTATTTAAAACAATTCCAGTTGAATATCATTAGTATTATCCAGTTTTTTCAAATTTGTAAAATTTTCTGGAAGACCTTTCTATCTTATAATTTGTTGATTGAAAAAAAATGATTGATTCTGATCTTTTGAAAATCACTATATTCTACGTGGAGAAGATTCTTCAAAAAATACGTAGCCTTTGAAGACTGGCTAAATGGAAATTTTTCAATGGCAGACGTTCTTCTTTGAAATGTGAAATGCGATTGAAATATAACATGTGAAAAAAATGGAAGAATAGCGTAGTTTTCGCGTGTTCACATTTGTAACTTATTGGCAAAGTGCGCTAATGTGTTGTGATCCGATTAATTTCCGTTGAAAGTTTCTATTCGTGTCGTGACACTTTGGTAGCTGTAAAACATTTCACCGAAAAAAATTTGTAGATGAATTATTATTATTATTATTATTTTCATGACCGTATGCTTCATGAAGATTGTAAATGAAAAGAATATAAATTCAATATTGATGAATTCATTTTTTTATCCATTTATGAGTATGGAATCCATTAATATATAAAAAGTAAAAAGAAAAATGGAAAACAAAGTGATATAAAAAGAGAAAAACAAAATAAAACGGCATTGTGAAAGAAACAAAATAAAAAATGATAAAAAGAATAAAGGTTTTTTTTCATTGCAAATATAGAGAACGAAAATTCAAATTACTTTTCTTCTTTTTTAAATTGAAATATTATTTTTCATTAAATAATTGTTTGAAAGCAAATTTTATATAACAACTTTATGATTATAGTTTACAATGATAGACATATAGTTAATACTCGATCGGATCACGACGCGTTAGATGCATTTCTTTTGGAATATGATCAAATTTCTATTCACAGAATTTAAAAAAAAAAAAAAAAAAAAAAA